ATTTTTCTGTTTCTTCCTTGGTCAGCCTTGGAAGGTTGTATTTTTCTAGGAATTTGTCCATTTCTTCTAAGTTTTCCAGCTTGTTAGCATGTAGGTTTTCATAGTATTCTCTAATAATTCTTTGTATTTCTGTGGGGTCCGTTGTGATGTTTCCTTACTCATTTCTGATTCTGTTGATCTGTGTTGATTCTCTTTTTCTCTTAATAAGTCTGGCTAATCAATTTTGTTTATTTTCTCAAGGAACCAGCTCTTGGTTTCATGGATTTTTTTCAATTGTTTTATTCTTCTCAATTGTATTTATTTCTTCTCTGATCTTTATTATGTCCCTCCTTCTCCTGAGTTCAGGCCTCATTTGTTCTTCTTTTTCCAAATTCGATAATTGTGACGGTAGAATATTCATTTGGATTTGTTCTTCCTTCTTTAAATATGCCTGGATTGCTATGTACTTTCCTCTTAAGACTGCTTTTGCTGTGTCGCACAGAAGTTGGGGCTTTGTGTTGTCATTGTTATTTGTTTTCATATATTGCTTGATCTCTATTTTAATTTGGTTGTTGATCCATTGATTATTTAGGAGCATGTTTTTAAGCCTCCATGTGTTTGTGGGTCTTTTTGCTTTCTTCGTACGATTTAGTTCCAGTTTTATACCTTTGTGGTCTGAAAAGTTGGTTGGTAGAATCTTTTGGAATTTACTGAGGCTCTTTTTGTGGCCTAGTATGTGGTCTATTCTGGAGAATGTTCCTTGTGCACTTGAGAAGAATGTGTATCCTGTTGCTTTTGGATGTAGAATTCTATAGATGACTATTAGATCCATCTGTTCTAGTGTGCTGTTCAGTGCCTCTGTGTCGTTACTTATTTTCTATCTGGTGGATCTGTCCTTTGGAGTGAACGGTGTGTTGAAGTCTCCTAAAATGAATGCATTGCATTCTATTTCCTCCTTTAGTTCTGTTAGTATTTGTTTCACATATGCTGATGCTCCTGTGTTGGGTGCATATACATTTATAATGGTTATATCCTCTTATTGGACTGACCCTTTTATCATTATGCAATGTCCTTCTTTATCTATTGTTACTTTATTTTTTTTGAAGTCTATTTAGTCTGATACTAGTATTGCAACACCTGCTTTTTTCTCCCTGTTGTTTGCATGAAATATCTTCTTCCATCCCTTGACTTTTAGCCTGTGCATGTCTTTGGGTTTGAGGTCTCTTGTAAGCAGCATATAGATGGGTCTTGTTTTTTTATCCATTCAATGACTCTCTGTCTTTTGATTGGTGCGTTCAGTCCATTTATATTTAGGGTGATTATCGATAGGTATGTACTTATTGCCATTGCAGGCTTTAGATTCGTGGTTACCAAAGGTTCAAGATTAATTTCCTTACTATCTAAGAGTCTAACTTAACTCACTTAGTATGCTGTTACAAACACAATCTAAAGGTTCTTTTCTATTTCTCCTCCTTTTTCTTCCTCCTTCATTCTTTATATATTAAGTATCAAATTCTGTACTTTTTGTCTATCCCTTGATTGACTTTGGGGATAATTAATTTAATTTTGCATTTGCTTCGTAATTACCTGTTCTACTTTCTTTACTGTGGTTTTATTACCTCTGGTCACAGCTATTCAACCTTAGGAACACTTCCATCTATAGCAGTCCCTCAAAAATAGACTGTAGGGATGGTTTGTGGGAGGCAAATTCTCTCAGCTTTTGCTTATCTGGAAATTGTTTAATCCCTCCTTCAAATTTAAATGATAATCTTGCTGGATAAAGTAATCTTGGTTCTAGGCCCTTCTTCTTCATGGCATTAAATATATCATGCCACTCCCTTCTGGCCTATAAGGTTTCTGCTGAGAAGTCTGATGTTAGCCTGATGGGCTGTCCTTTGTATGTGATCTTATTTCTGTCTCTGCCTGCTTTTAACAGTCTGTCCTTATCCTTGATCTTTTCCATTTTAATTACTATGTGTCTTGGTGTTGTCTTCCTTGGGTCCCTTGTGTTGGGAGATCTGTGGATCTGCATGGCCAGATTGGTGAAGTTTTCAGCAACTACCTACTCAAAGACACTTTCTATCCCTTTCTCTCTCTCTTCTTCTTCTGGTATCCCTATAATGCAAATATTGCTCCATTTGGATTGGTCACACAGTTCTCTCAATATTCTTTCATTCTTAGAGATCCTTTTTTCTCTCTGTGCTTCAGCTTCTTTGTATTTGTATTTCTCTTCTCTAGTTTGTGTTTCACTTATCGTCTCCTCCACCGTATCCAACCTGCTTTAATACCCTCCATCATGCTCTTGAATGATTGGATCTCCGACCTGAATTAGTTCCTGAGTTCTTGGATGTCTTTCCATACCTCCATTAGCATGTTGATGATTTTTATTTTGAACTCCCTTTTAGGAAGAGTCACGAGATCCATATCATTTAAATCTTTCTCGGGAGTTGTATTAATAATTTTACTCTGGACCAGGTTTCTTTGGTGTTTCATATTTGTATATGGCGCCCTCTAGTGTCCATAAGCTCAATTTTGGAGCTGCTCAGCTCCTGAAGCAATGTTGGAGGTGGTATTGGTGCCTGGGGGAAGGAAAGAGCTGTTCCCTGCTTCCTAGATGCTGTGCCTGTCTCCACTGCCTGAACCAGTGGGCCGAGCACACAGGTATAGCTTTTGTCTCAGGGCTGCCAGATATGGATCCCTGCTTTCCACAAGCAGCCAGAATCCCAGTCTCTCCAGGAACTCCGCCTGTCCCAGCTTTCCAACTCTGTAATCAGAAGAATATGATGAAAGCACCATGAAATGTAGGTTTGTGCTTCCAGCGCAGATCTCCAGAGCTAGTTATTCAGCAGTCCCAAGCCTTCCACTCCTTCCCTGCTCAGTTTCTCTTCCTCCCGCTGGTGAGCTGGGGTCGGGGAAGGGCTTGGGTCCCGCAGAGCCACAGCTCTGGTACGTGACCCCATTCAGTGAGGTCTGCTCTTTTCTCCAGGTGTATGCAGTCTGGTGCTGTCCTCTTTCCTGTTGCTTTCTCAGGATTAGTTGCGCCAACTCTATTTTCTAATTGTATCCAGTTTTAGGAGGAAGCCTCTGTCTCTCCTCTCACACCACCATCTTTAATCCCCTCTTCATGTTTAACTTTTTGAGGAACTGCAAACTGTTTTCCAAAGTGGCTGCACCATTTTACATTCTCACCAATAACATATGAAGATTCCAATTTCTCCACTTCCTTGTCAACACTTGTTTTTTATTGTCTTTTTAATTACAGCCATCCTAGTGGATATGAATAATTCATTGCGGTTTTAATATTCATTTCCTTAATGACTAATGATGCTGAACATGCTTTCTTGTGATAATTGGCAATTTGCATACCTTCTTTGGAGAAATGTCTATTCAGATCCTTTTGACTTTTTTAATTGGGTTGTCTTTTTATTATTTAGTTGCAAGAGTTCTTAATATATTTTGAATACAAGGGTCTTATAAGATACGTGATTTGTAAATGTTTTCTGCCATTCTGTTGGTTGTCTTTTTACTTTCTTCATAATACCATTTAAAGCACTTAAGTTTTTATTTGATGAAGTCCAAGTTTAACTTTGTCACTTGTGTTTTTGGTGTACAGAATTGATCTTTGTGTATAGTGTGAAGTACAGGTAAGGTTCTTTTTTTCCCTGTGGATATCCAACCGATAAAAACACCATGTATAAAAAGACTACTGTTCTATAGGGTCATCTTTGTAATAATCCAAATGTCCATATATGTATGGGTCTGTTATTTAAAAGTTAGATAGGACTCATCTGGTCCTTGTGACAATTTTAATGGTAAATTGTAAAATAAAAATTTTGTGGTAGTTACTGAAAGTTTTCCAGTTCTTGGGTTAATTTTGATAATTTATATTTTGTTAATAATATCCAGGGTTTTTAGAGGGTATTATGCTCAGTGAAATAAGCCAGGCAGAGAAAGACAAGTATCAAATGATTTCACTCATCTGTGGAGTATAAGAACAAAGAAAAAAACTGAAGAACAAAACAGCAGCAGACTCAGAGAATCCAAGAATGGACTAACAGTTACCAAAGGGAAAGGGATTGGGGAGGTTGTGAGGGAAGGGAGGGATAAGGGGAAAAAAGGGGCATTACGATTAGCATCCATAATGTGGGGGTGGGCACGGCACGGGGAAGGCAGTATAACACAGAGAAGACAAGTAGTGATTCTACAGCATCTTACTACGCTGATGGACAGTGACTGTAATGGTGTATGTGGTGGGGACTTGATAATAGGGGGAGTCTAGTAACTATAATGTTGCTCATGTAATTAACTGTACATTAATGATACCAAAAAAGAAAAAAAAGGAATAGCTGTTTTAAAATTTGTTGTCAGAATTGATGGATAAAAAAAAATTATTTCAATTTTTCTTAATCTGTGGACATGTCTTCTTTCTTAATCATCTATATTTTCTTTTTTTTTTTTTTAATTAGGCTCTTTAAGAGTTTTATTGTCTTTTCAAAGTAACAGTTTTTGGATTTGTTATCCTTTCTACTAATTTTTGTTTTCTATTTCATTAGCTTTAACATTTTCCTGCAGTAATTCTGTCTTCCTGCCTTTTTTTGCATGCTATTTTATTGTTCCTTTTCCAATTTCTTAAAGTAAATATTAAAAATTCCATATCTTAAAACTATCTTCTATTATAACAATGATGTCTAAGGCTTTTAACTACCTGTTAAGTATAAATTTTGCTCTATGTCCCATAGATTGGTATTAAATATTCTCTTTTACTTTGCTTTCTGCATAGTTTTGATTTTCTCTTTTATCTAAGAGTTATCTAGAAGTGTTTCTTAATTTCCAAGAAGCTAAGAATGTTTTAGTCTTTTTATTAGTTCTAATTTTATGGGATTAATATCAGATGATGTCCATAAAATTGCCACTTTTTTTCAATTTATTAATGTTATCTTTGTGGCCAAGGGCACAACTAATTTTTATAAATAAACATTTAAACGAAAAAACATTGCTATTTGTCAAGAAATTGCACTTACTTTGGCTGGGAGATTGCTTTGTCGTGGTTTCTGTATCAAAATGTGGACCTGAAGAAGTATAAAGAACTCCTTTACTGTTATTCTTCCATCTTTGAGTTTCTGTGGGAGAAAAAAGTTTGCATGATCATTCAAGATGAGCTCATTTTGACTATAACCATTTCATTTATTTCTAAATAGCTTAAAGTATTTTGCATATATTTGTGGAAATATTACTAAGATATTTGTAAGCTATAATGAGATTTTATCTAATATTATTTCTTAAGTTTATTCAGTAGGAGTAAAATTGGGGGAAAAAAACCAACAAAACATAGGTCTTCTAATTATAATTTCTATCCTATATGATGAATCGCCATGTTGTGTCTCTAACAAAGAAACTAGTCTTCTGTATACTTGAAACATTTCACAATTTTTTAAAAATTAAAAATAGAGAAAAAAGGAAATCAGTTGTTTTTAAAAGTATTTTAACATACCGCCTTTAAGTTCTCTTCAGAAATAGTGTCTCTCAGAAACTGTGATTCCATTTGACTATCACGGTGTGCTACAAGTAAAGCAAATGAGGTGATGAACAAGTCAAAATTAAATTGTAAACTTTATTTTGTTATCGTTCAGGTTTATGTGTGGTTCATTCTCCTGAAACTATCCACTAGGATCTTTCTAGGAAGAAAGTCATCTGTAGGACAAAATATATTACAGTTTTAAGGCTACATTCATTATTTCTCTACAAATTATAAGCCTCTTAAGGAAATCACTCTTTCCTTTGTGGTATATCACTTCTCAATTTATTAAAATAACCTAGAATTTAAAATAAGCTATTATTTTACTTATCAATTATCTGTAACTCTCAAAAAGCTTATATAAATTTCAAGTATCTCCTGAATTGAAATACATTTATTATTAGTTAAGTAAGCAAATGACTTCTATTATTTAGACTTCATGATCTTACTGCTAAAATTCAGAGAGGTACCATCAGCCTTGATTGAATCCAGGGAACTGCTGCAACTAGATGGTGTCCTGCTCAGGCTTTTTATCAATACACTGTTAGCATTTTTACCAACATCCTCTTCAGCATGATGATCAAAAATCTGAAATTATCAGGTAAGGGACATCATTAGGATAGAGTTATGATACTGTATACTTATAATGATTAAATGTTTGTTGAACACTAACAGAAATAAAGGCACACCTTGGAGATACTGCAGCTTTGGTCCCAGACCACAACAATACACTGAATATTGCAATAAAGAGAGTCAAATGAATTTTTTGGTTTCCCAGTACATATAAAAATATGATTATAATACACTGCCATCTAATAAATGTTCAATTGTATTATGTCTAAAAAAAACAATGTACATACCTTAATTAAAAAATACTTTGCTAAAAAATACTAACCATCATCTAAGCTTTCAGTGAGTGGTAATCACTGATCACAGATCACCATAACAAATATAACAATGAGGAAAAAGAAACATTTCAAGAATTACCAAAATGTGACACAGACACAAGAGCAAATGCTGTTGCGAAAATGGTACCAACAGACTTGCTCAAAGCAGGGTTGACACAAACCTTCACTTTGTAAAAAATACAGTATCTGCGAAGAGCAATAAAGCAAAGCACAGTAAAACGAGGTATGCCTATACTACTTCTGACAAAGTTTATTTATAATTCATATGAAGTATCTTAGTAGAATTAGAATAAGTAACAGGCAAATTATTAGACTGTTAAGGTTCAAAGTAATTTAAGAATATGTAGAAATAACTATGCATTATACTGTATAAGCAAATTTTCTCAAATGTATCTAAGTTATATTATAGCCATATCCTATGAGCTACCTATGATTCTACATAGGAGTATTTCTCCAGCCCTATTATTGGAAATAAGTAATTCCCTACTTACCTAATACTAAAATTAAAGTTCAAGAGTAGTCATAATTTTTAAAAAATCAAGAACATTCCTTAGTTGAAGACAGAGCTCACCTCCTGATCTTGTGCAGTATCATTAAAGCTAATCTCACTTTTTCTGATTTTTTTCTCATTTTCAGTATCATCATCTTCTTGTACCCAGGTTCTTTTTTGGCTATTGCAGATTGCTTGCATTTCATTTTCAGATGGTGAAATCTCTTTTTGGTATGTCTCAATCGAAGCCTTTTCTTCAGTTTTTGTGCTAACAGAGTCTGAGGAATTAATCTCACCAGGATATGTAGGAAGATTTTCCTCATTTATATATTGAGATGGACTTAACTTCAGTTTAGCTGCAACAAATCCAATGCTTAAATCCTTAGTGGAGACTTCCTGAGTTTCCAGGTGATTTAAATCAGCTGTCTCTGCTTGAAGACGCTGCACCTCATCTATACCAGTAACATTACAATTTCTCTTGTTTGGCAATCTGGGCAAAAATATTCCTAAAGAACATCTCCTCACTTTCTCTTTTACAACTGTCATTAATGATACAGAGTTGGTTTCAGCTCCATTATGAGAAGTTTTATTTTCTTCATCTTTATCATCTTTAACATTGCTGGACACTGTGTTATTATGTATTTCTGTAGCTTGTACTATATTCATATGATTGTGTGCCTGATTTACTAATTCCAGTAATTGTTCTGAAGAAGGTGGTACATGAACAGTTTGAAAATCTAAAAATTTTTCAGTTTTTCCACTTAAATTATTCAGATTTGGTTTGATACTACTAAAACTTGCAGCATTAGAAACAATTACAGGATCTGATGTTTCTTTAGGATTGGCATGGGTTTGAATAACTTGCTTAGTCAAGTCTGAGTTACTGTGGAAATCTATAGCTGTATTACATTTAGATGTTTGAATATTTTTCTTCAGTTTTTTATTATAGGCTATAATAAACTGTTTCTCATTATTGAGCATTTTGGACTCATTTTCACATGAAGGTTCAGAGGAATTTCCTGGAACAGTATTTAAATCATTTCCAGCTTTAGACAATATTGTTTCATCTTTATTGACAATACTCTTTTCTTGTTGAGGTAATGGAGATTGCTGGGTTGAGAGATGAGCCTGAGAAGCAACACAAACATCACTAACAAAGGTCTTCTGTAAACTATGCTCTGCATTATCAACAAAAGCCTCCATTTGATCCTTTGGAAGCTTAAAACATACTTGGTTTGAATTAAGCTTAGTCATCTCCCCCAGATCTTGACCATATACTAAAGTTTGATTAACTAATTGATTTTGGGGTTCCTTAATAAGATCTTGATCTTTGAGCACTGTAATGATACAATCTAACTGTCCTTTGGCATTGGGTTGAAAAACTTTTTCCTTCTCTAACACATAATAAGGAGCAGAGAGAGGCAGTCCCTCAGATTTCAAGTAATGCTCACTGGCTAAATCATCTGCACAAGCAAGATGATTTTGCACTGGGCAACTACTGGCTTTCTCATCTTTATCACATAAGGACATGATGTTACCCTTCGAATTATAGGAAATAACATTTGATAAAAAGGAATAATTATCACTGGATCCACAAATAGCAGTTTCTTGACTGTTCATAAAATCCACATTTATTCTATCTGTATTATTTAAGTGACAACTTCCAGTTTTGGCTTTTTCTAATGTAAAAGCCTGGTCTACAACTTTTCCCACAACCTCTTCATCCATAGTAGTGCTGTGGAATTTGATGATTTCTATTTCATCTTGACCCTTAGGCAATGTATTAGTAGGAGTAAATGGTATCACATGATGCTTTTGCTTGGTGTGAAGAACACTTTTGTGTTCTACAGCCAGTGTTTGCATTTTAGTGATTTCTTGAACAGAACTACCATCTTTAGGAAAAGAAGCACTCAGGGTTTTTTCTTCCCTTATTCCAAATTCAGGGCACTCCTGAAGTATTTTCTCCTTGGCCTGACAATCAATGAAAACAGTATGGCACTTGGTGACTTCTAGATCACTCTGATTACCTACAAACATTACAGTCTGGGCCATAGGCCTAGTGACTATTTTATCTGGTGAGACAGTTTTACATTTTAAGGCAGTTGTGTGACTTCTAGTGACCTCCATGTCATCCTGTCCACATGTATACAGAACAGTTTTAGAAGTTCCTGCCAAAGGCATCAAATGGGAGTCCTGTCTGTCTTCCAGGGTACTTTTGTTATTTATTTCCACTGAACAACTCCGGATGATATCCCTATCATTTTTATCATTCTTGGAAAATTCAATGGTTTTGTCATTTTTGGGTCTCAGGCTTTTCCTTCTCTGACTTTTGCCTGATAGAAGTTCATTCAGAAATATAGGCTGTTGTACCTCTTTGTCATTTTTCCAAATGGTTGATTTTGACACTTCCATATTATCATCAGCTATAAATGCTACAGCTTTCTCTATAGGACCACTGTTAGACCACTCTCCCAGTAGTGTTAGCTGGCTGACTTTTGCTGCAGAATGATCATTTTCAACATTCTCTGGAAAGAAAACATTCTCCTTGGCAGATGTCACTTTTGGTTTTTCTAGGCTTTCCTTGTTGGATAGTTCAAAATTAGGTCTGTTTGGAAGCACAGTTGTTTCTACTGCTTGGTAGTCAATGAAAACAGTGTGGGACTTTGTCATTTCTAGTTCATCATGATTACCTACAAACATTTCAGTTTTGTCCACAGGTATAGTAGTTATTTCATCTGGTGAGACAGTTTTACATTCTATGGCAGTTGTGTGACTTCTAGTGACCTCCATGTCATCCTGCCCACATGTATACAAAACAGTTTTAGAAGTTCCTGTCAAAGGCACCAAATAGGAATCATGTTCCTCTGCTAAAGGTCTATGATTTATTTCCACTGTATAACTCTTGGTGATATCCATATCATTCTCATCACCCTCTGAAAACACAATAGTCTTGTCAATTTTTAGTCTGCCAATACTTTTGCTTCTACAAGTTTTGATATCTTGCTTTTCATTAAGAAATGCAGGTTTCTGTACACTTTCATCCTCCAACACATCCATGATACCAGTAGAAATAAATACGTCAGTTTTTTTAATAGGACTTTCATTACATTTTTCAGCTTCTACAGCTATCTGTCTGTTTACTGTTGTTAGCTGGCTGCTAGTATCTTCTAAATCATTCTTACCCAGTTCTTGTACTTCAGGACCAAATCCAATGACAATAGTGTGACTCTTTGTTAGATCCATATTTTGCTCCTCCTCTGAGCAAATAATTACCTTGTCATGAGAACAATCAAGTGTGGGATTGCCTAAACTTCTCCTCAGTGATTCAGTCAGTTTAGAATTCTGGCTTGGTACAGATTTCGCTGTATGACTGTTAACAGCAGTATTAGGATTTTTCATAGCAGATTGTCTTTCTGAAGAAAATGGCTTTGTGGTAGAAAATAAAGGTTGCTCACACAAAATGGTATTTCTATTATTTCTCAGTGCTACTTGTTTATCAAGATCTCCATCAGAGTATATTATATTATAGTTGGTTTCAGCTGTCTGAGGAGAATCTTTATGAAGGTAGGGTGAAATTTTCAAAACCTGATCTTTTTCTTTGCCCCAGGTATTAGTTGGGATGTTTGTAAACATTATGTCTGGTTGTTGGGATGGCTCAACATGACTTTTACTCATTTCTCCCCATTCATCTGAAGGGCTTTTGCTGTGAGAGTGAGATTTACTCGTATTCACAGGTGCTACAGTGTAAGATGCAAAAGGAGCTTGATTTTTTAAGTTAGTTGTGTGACTTCTGGTCAAATCCATATCTTCACCTCTGAAGATTTCAGTCTTGTCAGTCAATGAAACAGATAAAGGATTTGCCAGATTCTGCTGTAATCTTTCCTTAGATACATGAGGAACTGAGCTACAATTTACATTCATTTCCCCATCCTCTGACATGATTATGTCATTTTGGAGCATCATTTCTTTTTCAGATATTGGTGCAGCTATCTGTACATTTGTCTGATCTTGTTCAAAAATTTGATTATCTATTGCAACTGTATGACTCTTGGTAATATCCATGCTATCCTCTCCTGAATAAATCATTTTCTCTATGGGAAGACAGATGGTATCTAGACTGGGATATATTTTAGAATAATTACCGTTGGGCTTTAGCAAATTTTTCTCTTCTCTCATACCTGAGAGACACTTGGTCAATTCCATGGCATCATTAAAACTGGAAGATAAACATGTCTTATCATGAATAGTTGTACTAAAACATACAGATTCTGGGATCATGGCCAATGTTCTGACATCTTGGTTAGAAATCTGTGTGACTGTATGAGTTTCTGTCCCTGTATTATGTATTTCAGTCTTAGGGTTTAAGGAAGGATCCTGAAAAGCAACATTCTGTTTATTCTTAAAGATTGTCTTCTTTTCTTGAGCTTTAGTTCCATAACCTGTTGTAGTATCAACAATCTGAGTTTGATTTTCTATTTCAGATAAATTATCTGCTGAGGGTAAAATCTGTGTAGTGTGGTTCATTGTTAAGTCCATAAAGTCATTGCCATAAATTGTAATACCATCACTTTTAAATTCCTGTAAGCTGGCCTCACTGGATGTGGGAACCAAAGTCTGAATATTAGCTGTATGACACTGGGTGAAATTCATACCATCATCTTGTTCTCTGAAGATTCTAGTTACATTACTGGTATTTTCATTTACACTGAGAGATGTGTGCATTTGACATGTAGAAGTCTTATGTGATTCTTTGGAATGAATGGATATCTCAGAATTTTCTTTATCAGGTCCTATAAAAGGAGAAGCATTAGATTTTCCTCTTTTCAATCTTTTTACAAAATCATTGAAATTTATTTTCTTTCCTGAAGAAGTGTTTTGATCCACAGAAAAATTTAATTCTTTTTTCATTCTTGAATTCTCAGTATGGAGCTTTAAGTTAGCGAGAAATGATGTGGTATCTATCTTGGTGGACATTTCATTTTTGGTACAATCTAAAAGGTCTTTGGTAATCATCACAGTGTGACTTGTTGTCAGGTCCATCTGGTTTTCATCTGAAAAGATGACTGTCTGGTCATTCGCATGCTTCCTTTGATAGTTGTGTTGTATAACTGAAATCTATAATGAAAGCAAAATATAGGAGATCAGATAAAAATGCAAACTTTTAGATTCAAGATGGCGGCGTGAGAGGTGAGACGGAGAACTTGCAAAATCACAAATAGTATGAAAATATAGTTAATTAATACAACTAACCTTAAAACAGCAACAAGAAAGAAGGCTGAACCAGACTGCATACAGACCTCATAAACAGAGCAGACCAAATGGAACAGGGTAATGTACGAAAGCCTTAATCTGGCGGAACCCAAGCCCTTTCCCCACCCCAGCTCACTGGCTGGAGGAAGAGAAACGGAGTGGGGAGGGGGTAGAAGCTTGGGACTGCTGAACACCTAGACGTGGAGATCTGCTTTGTGAGCAGAAACCTATATTGTGTAGTGTTGTGGAGGATGGGGAGCTCAGACAGGCGGACTGCTTGAGTGACTGAAATTCTGGCCATTTGTGGAGGAGGGGGATCCACATCTGACCGCTCTGTGTCAGAGGAAAGGGAGGTGGTTGGAGAGCCTTCCTAGCAGCAGAGAGGGCTGCTGAAGGGGTGGGGTTTGCATGGAGCTTGCTGCACGGGAGAAGGGGGAGCTGGACAAGGTTGTCTGAGTGTGCTCTGCCCAGGGGGTTTGGAACTTTGAGGAGGTTCAGGTGCTCCATCCCCTTGGTTGCCTACTCAGCTCTGAGGCCCTCCACAGTGACAAGCACCCTGCTGTGCCTTCCCCTAAACTTCCGGCACCAGTTCGCAAACCGGCAGTTACTGTGTTGGTGGCAAGCCAGACAGAGGGAGGCCTCGCCTATAAAAGCTAGAGATGCAAAGCACAGAGGCTTATACCTGTGTGCTTGGCCCACTGGCTCTGGCAATGGAGACAGGCAATGCAGACAGGAATCAGGAAATAGACCTTTCCTCCCCGCAGGCAACAGCTCTGCTCCCCTATGACCCCCAACTTCACTCTAGGGACTGAGGAGCTCCAGACACTGGAGCTTCTGGGTACTAGTGGGTACCACACAGAAATATGAAATGTCAAAAGAACATGGTTCGGATCAAAATCTCACAAACCCCAGAAAAAGAGCCAAATGAAACTGAACTCACCAATTTTTCTGAGAGTTCAGAATAAAAATCATAAGCATGCTTATGGAGATACAGAAAAATATTCAAGAACTCAGGAACGAATTTAAGCCAGAGATTCAATCATTAAGAAATTCCATATCTGAAATGAAATATACAATGGAGGAATTTAAAACCAGATTAGATGTAGAAGAGACAGTAAATGGAATAGAAATTAGAGAAGAGGAATACAAAGAAGCTGAGGCATAGAGAGAAAAAAGAATCTCTAAGAATGAAAGACTATTGAGAGAACTGTGTGACCAATCCAAATGGAACAATATTCACATTATAGGTGTACCAGAAGAAGAGAGAGAAAAAGGGATAGAAAGTGTCATTGAGGAGGTAATTGCTGAAAACTTCCTCAATCTGGGGAAGGAGATAGTCTCTCAAGCAAGGAGGTAAAGAGATCTCCGAACACAAGGGACCCAAGGAAGACAACATCAAGACATATAATAATTAAAATGGCAAAGATCAAGGATAAGGACAGACTTTTAAAAACAGCTAGAGAGAGAAAAATGAACACATACAAGGAAAAACCCATTAGGCTATCATCAGATTTCTCAACAGAAAACTTACGGGCCAGAAGAGAGTGGCATGATATATTTAATGCAATGAAGCAGAAGGGCCTCGAACCAGGATTACTCCACCCAGCAACGTTATCCTTTAAATTTGAAAGAAGGATTAAACAATTTTCAGATAAGCAAAAACTGAGAGAATTTACCTCCCACAAACCACCTCTACAGTGCATTTTGGAGGGACTCTTATAGATGGAAGTTTTCCTAAGGCAAAATAGATGTCAACCAAGGGATATTCAAAGAGAACAGAATATGATTCATAACATACAAAGAATGGAGGAGGGAAAAAATAAGAACTTGATGCAATAGCATCAAGCATAGCATACGAAGTGAGTTAAATTAGACTGTTAGATAGTAAGGGAATTACCTTGAATCTTTGGTAACCACAAATTTAAAGCCTGTAATAGCAATAAGTACATACCTATTGATATTCACCCTAAATGTAAATGGACTGAATGCACCAATTAAAAGACATAGAGTTACTGAACAGATTAAAAAAACAAGAACCATCTATATGGTGCCTACAAGAGACTCACTTCAAACCCAAAGACATACACTGAGTGAAAGCAAAGGAATGGAAAAAGATATTTCATGCAACTAATAGGGAGAAAAAAGCAGAAGTTGCAGTACTTGTATCAGAGAAATTGGACTTCAAAAAGAAGAAAGTAACAAGAGACAAAGAATGACATTACATAATGATGGGTCAGTCCATCAAGAGGATATAACTATTATAAATATATATGCATCCAATACAGAATCACCTACATATGTGAAACAAATACTAACAAAATTAAAGGAGGAAACAGAATGCAATGCATTCATTTTAGGAGACTTGAGCACAACACTCATTCCAAAGGACAGATCAATCAGACAGAAAGTAAGCAAAGAGACAGAGGCACTGAACAACGTATTGGAACAGATGGACCTCATGGACATCTACAGAACATTTCATCCAAAAGCAACAGGATACACAGTCTTCTCAAGTGCACATGGAACATTTTCAAGAATAGATCATATACTAGGCCACAAAAAGAACCTCAGTAAATTCAAATTGAAATTGTACCAACCAGCTTCTCAGATCACAAAGGTATGAAAATAGAAATAAATCACATAAAGAAAATGAAAAAGCCCACAAACACACAGAGGCTTAATAACATGCTCCTAATAATCAGTGGATCAAAGAAGAGATCAAGCAATGTATGGAGACAAATGACAACAATAATTCAACAACACAAAATATGTGGGATGCAACGAAGGCCATGCGAAGAGGGAAATATATTGCAATACATGCCTACCTCAGGAAAGAAGAAAAATCCCAAATAAACAGTCTAAACTCACAATTAATGAAGTGAGAAAAGGAAGAACAAATAAGACCCAAAGTCAGTAGAATGAGGGACATAATAAAGATTAAAGCAGAAATAAATAAAATTGAGAAGAATAAAACAATAGAAAGATTCAGTGAGAGCAAGAGCTGGTTCTTTGAGAAAAAAAACAAAATAGATAAACCCCTAGCCAGACTTATCAAGAGAAAAAGGGAGTCTACACATAAACAGAATCAGAAAAGAGAAAGGAAAAATCACTTCGGACATCACAGAAATACAAAGAATTATTAGAGAATACTATGAAAAATTATATGGTAACAAACTGGATAAACTAGAAGAAATGGATAACTTTCTAGAAAAATACAACCTTCTGAGGCTGACCCAAGAAGAAACAGAGAATCTGAATAGACCAATTAACAGCAAAGAAATTGAATTGGTAACCAAAAAGCTACCTAAGAATAAAATTCCTGGACCAGATGGTTTCACTGCTGAATTTTATCAAACATTTAGTGAAGACCTAATACCCATCCTCCTTAAAGTTTTCCAAAATGTAGAACAGGAGGGAATACTCCCAAACTCATTCTATGAGGACAACACCACTCTAATACCAAGACCATGCAAAGACACCACAAAAAAAGAAAATTACAGACCAATATCCCTGATGAACATAAATGCAAAAACACTCAACAAAATATTACTAGCAAACCAAATTCAAAAATACATTAAAAAGATCATCCATAATGATCAAGAGGGATTCATCCCAGGGATGCAAGGATGGTACAACATTAGAAAACTCATCAACATCATCCACCACATCAACAAAAAGAAGGACAAAAACCACATGATCATCTCCATAGATGCGGAAAAAGCATTGGACAAAATTCAATATCCAGTCATGATAAAAACTCTCAACAAAATGGGTATAGAGGGCAAGTACCCTAACATAATAAAGGCCATATATGACAAACCCACAGCCAAAATTATACTTAACAGTGAGAAGCTAAAAGCTTTTCCTTTAACATCAGGACCAAGACATGGATGTCCACTCTCCCCACTTTTATTCAACATAATTCTGGAGGTCCTAGCCACAGCAGTCAGAAAATACAAAGAAATAAAAGACATCCAGATTCCCAAGGAAGAAGTCAATCTATCCTTGTTTGCAGATGACATGATATTGTACATAAAAAACCCTAAAGAATCCACTCCAAAACTACTAGATCTAATATCTGAATTCAGCAAAGTTGCGGGATACAGAATTAATACACAGAAATCTGTTGCATTCCTATACACTAACAATGAACTAGCAGAAAGAGAAATAAGGAAAACAATTCCACTCAAAATTGCATCAAAAAGAACAAAATACCTAGGAATAAACCTAACCAAGGAAGTGAAAAGACCTATACCCTGAAAAATACAAGACACTCTTAAGAGAAATTAAAGAGGACACGAATGAATGGAAACTCATCCCATGCTCTTGGCTAGGAAGAATTAATATTGTCAAAATGGTCATCCTGTCTAAAGCAATCTACAGATTCAATTCAATCCCTATCAAAATACCTACAGCATTCTTCAATGAACTAGAGAAAATAGTTCTAAAATTCATATGGAACAACAAAAGACCCCAAATAGCCAAAGCAATCCTGAGAAGGAAGAATAAAGCAGGGGGAATTATGCTCCCTGACTTCAAGCTCTACTACAAAGCCACAGTAATCAAGACAATTTGGTACTGGCACAAGAACAGACCCATAGACCAGTGGAACAGAATAGAGAGCCCAGATACAAACCCAAGCATATATGGTCAATAAATATACGATAAAGCAGCCATTGATATACAATGGGGAAATGACTGCCTCTTCAACCGCTGGTGTTGGCGAAACTGGAGAGCTGCATGTAAGAGAATCAAACTGGATTATTTTTCTAACCCCATACACAAAAGTAAACTCAAAATGGATCAAAGACCTGAATGTAAGTCATGAAACCATAAAAGTCTTAGAAAAAAATATAGGCAAAAATCTCTTGGACATAAACATGAGTGGCCTCTTCTTGAACGTATCTCCCTGGGCAAGGGAAACAAAAGCAAAAATGAACAAGTGGGACTATATCAAACTAAAAAGCTTCTGTACAGCAAAGGACACCATCAGTAGAACAAAAAGACATCCTACAGTATGGGAGAATATATTCATAAATGACACATCCGATAAAGGGTTGACATCTAAATTATACAAAGAGCTCACACACCTCAACAAACAAAAAGCAAATAAGTCAATTAAAAAATGGGCAGAGGACCTGAAAAGACACTTCTCCAAAGAAGAAATTCAGATGGCCAACAGGCACATGAAAAGAGGCTCCACATCCCTAATCATCAGAGAAATGCAAATAATAACCACTATGAGATATCACCTCACACCAGTTAGGGTGGCCACTATCCGAATGACAAACAACAGCAAATGCTGGTGAGGATGTGGAGAAAGGAGAACCCTCCTACACTGCTGGTGGGAATGTAAACTAGTTCAACCATTGTGGAAAGAGTATGGAGGTTCCTCAAAAAACTAAAAATAGAAATACCATTTGACCTGGGAATTCCACTATTAGGAATTTACCCTAAGAATGCAGGACCCTAGTTTGAAAAAGACATATGCACCCCTATGTTTATCACAGCACTATTAGAAATAGCCAAGAAATGAAAGCAACCTAAGTATCCATCAGTAGATGAATGGATAAAGAAGATGTGGTACATATACACAATGGAGTATTATTCAGCCATAAGAAGAAAACAAATCCTACCATTTGCAACAACATGGATGGAGCTAGAGGGTATTATGCTCAATGAAATAAGCCAGGCAGAGAAAGACAAGTATCAAATGATTTCACTCATCTGTGGAGTATAAGAACAAAGAAAAAACTGAAGGAACAAAACAAGAGCAGCCTTTCAGAACTGAAGACTGGACTAACAGTTACCAAAGGGAAAGGGATTAGGGAGGATGGGTGGGAAGGGGGGGATAAGGGGGGGAAAAAGGGGCATTACGATTAGCATGTATAATGTAGTGGGGGTGACACAGGAAAGGCAGTATATACAAAGAAGACAAGTAATGATTCTACAGCATCTTACTACGCTGATGGACAGTGACTGTAATGGGGCATGTGGGGGTGACTTGATAAAAGGGGGAGTCTAGTAACCATTAATGTTGTTCAAGTAATTGTACATTAACGATATCAGAATTTTAAAAAATTTTAAAAATGTAAAAAAAACCAATCGAATGACTGTTTTCTATCTCTTAAAGTGAAAAGAATTAAGATCTCAGTATTTCTTAGGAAGAAATTTTGCAACACGGAGTCTTTTTTCCACATAAAAAAATGCAAACTTTTAGTAAGGTATTTTAGACTGTATATAGATTACTATATAAATAATCCTCAGTGATGGTTTCATGATACATTGGTTTATCTGAATCAATGGTGTGGTTTGTAGCATGTAATTTGTTTCTAAAACTGCTGAAGTCTACGAATACTTTCAGTGTTTTGTACAGATTAAAAGTTCAATGTTAATTATACACCCTCTAGAATGACTAAAAAATGAAAAAAAAATGTAATTACAATGAAAATTCTGTGTTATTTTCATTGTAAATAAAAAAGGCTTGGAAAGGAACACGTCCATGATGGCTAATTTATTATAGTATACTCTCCACTCTTGGGAGCTGGGTTCTCTTTGAGTCTTAATGTAGTGGATTAAGAACACACTCTAACTCCTACTCAAAAAGCATGGTGTGTGGACTAGTCTATTAGCATCACGTAGGAGAATGTTTTACATATAGAATTTCAGGGCCTACTCAGGTATACCAGATAAGAATCTGTATTTTAACAAAATCCTGAGATGATTTATATGACCACTGATGTCTGAAAAGTCCTGATATAATTTATGTATTTCCTATTATTTAAATTGACAGTGATTTAACTATCCTTATTTAACTGGAAAGTTTGTAAGTTCTTCTAGTCTATGCAGGTTCATTTAGGTAAGTGATCCCTAAATCATGCCATTAGCATTAAATATTTTGTGTTTTTAAAGTTTTGACTGGCAAGTGAGATTAAAATATGAAGACATTTGCAAGAACCCATACCTCTTTCTGCTGCATCTGGGTCTGAATGGGAGCACAAAGCAATGTATTCATCCCTATAGAGCAAAAAGAAACAAGTATAGTCAGTGACAAAAATACATATCATCAAGAGCCTGATTTTCTTTTTCTTATGTTCTTCATCAGTTATGAGTATTTACTGAAGTTTTATCAGTTACTAAGCCCTTCATGAGGACTTAGGTATTAAATTTCATTAAGACTTTTAATTGTTCGATTTTAGAGACAGAGCAGTGATTATTGTATTCTCTGTGCAACTGAAATGTTTTTAGAATCTGGTAGAGATTTTAAGAATGGAAGTTTAGGCTACTTTATTCCCCTTCACTTCCCCAGTTTTATTTCCTGGAAAGTAGATTTACATGGTAAAGCTTACTAACTGATGAGACAGAAATATTAGGGTAAGATTTTGAAGCATCTTTTATTCTATGTTAAGGATCTAGACGTTCCCATGACAAGATGTGCATTTTATAAAAATAATTCCAGAGAGGAAGAAAGTAGGTTCAAGAGAAAATGAACCATGAGGAACTAATGTAATAGTTTAGATACAACATGATGAGAGTTTATGTTAGCGCAAGAGACAATGAGAATGAAAATAAGAAATGAGACTCAGGACATTTTAGAATTGAAATACAAAATTTAGGTAACAATCTGGACTTCAGAAATAAGGAAGGGATTAAGGATGCTACAATAAATCAGGAAATACATTTAAAAATAATTATATTTAAGGCAATCTTTAAAACATTTTAAAGAGTTTATGGCAACTTTGACTGAATATGATGAAGTAATTATAGGTTTTTTTATTCAAAGGCTTATTTATATATCAAGTCTTCATTCATTTTTTCAACAAGTATTGATTCAGAACTTATTATATGCCCCAAACTCAACTATCTACTAAAGCACAAAGAAGAAAACATTTCTGAACTCAAACAGTTCCTAGTTTAATAAGAGCAAGAAGTAAATACCTAAAATACAATGTGATAAATTCTATAGTCTGAGAAACTGAAGGGGTGTTAATGAGAGCACAGGGCAAAAGTCACTAACTCCTTGGTTTTGTCAGAGAAAGCTCCATGTAAGCCAGTACTATTTAATGTATGTGAACTGCTTGTTACCCATTCATGATGGGATAAACAACTTTCAGCCAATGTAAATCATGTAATATTTCCTTTATCATGAAAGTTTTGCTAAGGAAAACACAGCAGCTAACTAAACAGAAGCTTACTGCCATAGTTGATTTATATTCTAGTGCAAATTCCTTTTCTGTCATGGACTGTAACAGTTTGTGGACTTTGGACTTTGAATAGCACTAAAATTAAGCTAACTGAAAAATGAGAAGACTACTAAGCAAATTGGAGTAGGAAGAACACTTTAAGTATGAAATAGCATTTACAAATGGACATAGGCAGAAAGAAGTCTGCGTGGGAAACTGCAAATAGTTCTTCATGAGCTAGAGCATAGGATGCCTATAAAGGGCAAGATATAAGTTTGGAGAAGACAAACCAAATTATAAAGAGCTTTCTAAGTATATGCTAGGAATTGTGGATTTTATCCTGTAAACAAAAAAGTGTCATTGAATAATTTTAAGCTGGGAGGTAATATGATCAGATTTACAAAGATAAGAAATGAAATACAAAAGCCCAAGTAAAAATAATGAGGACTTGAATTGAAACAGTGGCTGAAGGACTAGAGAATATGTAACAGATTTGCAAGATATTTAGGAGACAGAATAGAGAGTAGGGCCAAATGATACAAAAAAGAAGGAAAAGTTAAAAAATGACTCCATTCTTGACTTCAGTGAATTAACTGAGTGACTAGGAGTCCAAGATAGAGAAAATGAGGAACAGCAGGTTTAAGAGAAATACTAGTATGCCTATGAAATTTTAAGTTGAAGGTTTTATGTAAAGAACAGAGACCTTTCACGTTTCCCCCACCAGTTTTTACATATTACTTTTCAAGAAATCGAAATGAAGAGAAAGGTGTATGGTAGGAAAAGTATTCTGGTCATACTCACCAGTTATCTCACAGTAGTTATCTTCTGGATTCTTATTCCTAAAAATTAAAAAGTATTATCAAAATCTATATCCCAAACAATTACCAAGAATCAGAACAGTTGAAAGAGTAGAGAAGGTGAAAGGTTTTCATAGGTGACTGGCAGAAAAACACAAAGCCATTTGTAAAAAAGACTCATCTAATACTGGCAGAAAAAAATAACTAGATACGTAAAGGACCCTTTTCATATTGGTCTTAATTGTTTGTTAATTTCAAGGTACTGTAAAAATATGTTTAATACATGCTACTTGCTAATTTTTTCAAAAACAATCACCTACAAAGCAACTCATTTCCTACAAAAGTTAGCCTTAAAAAAAAAGGTACGTAAAAGGAACAACTGAAATATCCATCATTAGGGAGCTGACTCAATGTTAGTGCAGTCATACATTGTATTTTAACAGACTGAGGTAGACATGTATGCAACAACATGGAAAGTGCTACAAGACATATAATTAATAAGCGATCCCATTTTTGTCTTGTTAAAAAGAAAAGCTAAAGACAAACATGCACTTGGATTACATATAAAATTTCTGCAATGACATCCAAATTTATCAACAGTTGTTACCTCTGAGGAGCCAAAGTAATATGGCTTAGAGATTTTCTGTATCAGTATATAAAAGAGAATCTTTTTTCCAGCTCAAAAGTAGTCAATAACATGTAAAATTTATAATTTACTTAACCAGTCCCCTACTGGTGGATTAGAATCTTTTGCATCTTTTTCTATGATAATAAGTGATGCAGTGAATGATCTTATATATTCATCATTTCAAATATGTTCAAGTATATTGTGATAAATTCCCAGACATGAAATTGCTGAGTCAAAGAGCATATGCATTTAAAATCTGAATATTTAAAATTTGAATGATACTGCCAATTGCCTTCTACAACTTATACCCACTAGCAATAGCTGACTTTCTACCTATATTCTTAACTGCTTAAATAAAAATTTATACCACAAATATTTTAAGTTTATATTTCTCTTCTGATGAAGTAAGCATCTTTCCATTCGTTCAAGGCCTACTTTTCTATATATCATTATTATAAGGAAAACTGATTTAATAAAAAAATATTGGAAGACTTGGTATTAACTGGTTTGTAGTAGCTGTCGTATTTAAGGATTTATATATGAAAGTAGAGTGTTTCATCACTGTTAAAACAATAAGCTGTACAATGTACACACTTATTAGATATAGCAGTATATTAAATTCTGCAAATAATTTGTTTTCTGAATTAATCCATTTCAAGTTTACTTTTGTGTATGGAGTTAGACAGTAATAGTTTCATTCTGTGACATGCAGTTGTCCAGTTTGCCAACACCAGTTGTTGAAGAGGCTGTCGTTTCCCCATTGTATATTCCACAACAGGGATACAAAAATAAATAAAAAATAATAATATTAATTTGAAGAACACTTCATTTATTATGAATAGCTTCTAAAGTAAAGTTAAATCATATTTTTCTTACTTACTGTATAAATAGAACATTTTCTCCTGCTTCTGTTTCTAAAAATAAAATAAAATCCAATTTGTACAAAGATACACTGATAAACCATTAGAAAAGTTGCAAAAGGACATTAATAATTTTTTTAAGGTATCATTGATACACAATCTTATAAAGGTTTCATATGACCAACATTGTGGTTCTACATCCACCCATATTATTGAGCCCCCCACCGCATCCTACCACAGTCACTATCAATCAGTGTAGCAAGATGCTACAGAGTCACTACTTGTCTTCTCTGTGCTACACTTCTTCCCCATGACCCTACACATCCCAAGTGTGCCAATCATAAAGCCCCTTAATCCACTTCTCCCTCCCTCCCCTTTGGTAACCCTAGTCCCTTCTTGGAGTCCGTGAGTCTGCTGCTGTTTTTTTCCTTGAGTTTTGCTTTGTTATACTCCACAACTAAGTGAAATCATTTGGTACTTGTCTTTCTCCGCCTGGCATATTTCACTGAGCATAATACACTCTAGCGCCATCCATGTTGTTGCAAATGGTAGGATTTGTTCTCTTAGAGCTGAATAATATTCCATTGCATATATGTACCACATCTTCTTTATCCATTCATGACACTCAGGTTGCTTCAATATCTTGGCTATTATAAATAGTGCTGTGATAAACATAGGGGTGCATATGTCTTTTTGAATCTGTGATCCTGCATTCTTAGGGTAAATTCCTAGGAGTGGAATTCCTGGGTCAAATGGCATTCCTATTTTTAGTTTTGTGAGGAACCTCCATAATGCTTTCCACAATGGTTGAACTAATTTACATTCTAATCAGCAGTGTAGGAGTGTTCCCCTTTCTCCACATCCTCGCCAGCATTTGTTGTTCTTAGTCTTTTTGATGTTGGCCATTCTAACTGGTGTGAGGTGATATCTCACTCTGGTTTTAATTTGCATTTCCCTGATGATTAGCGATATGGATCATCTTTTCATGTGCCTGTTGGCCATCTGAATTTTTTCTTTGGAGAAGTGTCTATTCAGATCCTCTGACCATTTTTTAATTGGCTTATTTGCTTTTTGTTTGTTGAGGTGCGTGAGCTCTTTGTATAATTTAGATGCCAACCCCTTATCGGATGTGTCATTTATGAATATATTCTCCCATACTGTAGGATGTCTTTTTGTTCTACTGATGGTGTCTTTTGCTGTACAGAAGCTTTTTAGTTTGATATAGTCCCACTTGTTCATTTTTGCTTTTGTTTCCCTTGCCCAGGGAGATATGTTCAAGAAGAGGTCACTCATGTTTATGTCCAAGAGATTTTTGCCTATATTTTTTTCTAAGAGTTTTATGGTTTCATGACTTACATTCAGGTCTTTGATCCATTTTGAGTTTACTTTTGTGTATGGGGTTAGAAAAATAATCCAGTTTGATTCTCTTACATGCAGCTCTCCAGTTTTGCCAACACCAGTGGTCGAAGAGGCAGTCATTTCCCCATTGTATATCCATGGCTGCTTTATCGTATATTTATTGACCATATATGCTTTGGGTTATATCTGGGCTGTCTATTCTGTTCCATTGGTCTATGGGTCTGTTCTTGTGCCAGTACCAAATTGTCCTGATTACTGTGGCTTTGTAGTAGAGCTTGAAGTCAGGGAGCATAATTCCCCCTGCTTTATTCTTCCTTCTTGGGATTGCTTTGGCTATTCGGGGTCTTTTGTTGTTCCATATGAATTTTAGAACTATTTTCTCTAGTTCATTGAAGAATGCTGTAGGTATTTTGATAGGGATTGAATTGAATCTGTATAGATTGCTTTAGACAGGATAACAATTTTGACGATATTAATTCTTCCTAGCCAAGAGCATGGGATGAGTTTCCATTCATTCGTGTTCTCTTTAATTTCTCTTAAGAGTGTCTTGTATTTTTCAGGGTATAGGTCTTTCACTTCCTTGGTTAGGTTTATTCCTAGGTATTTTGTTCTTTTTGATGCAATTTTGAGTGGAATTGTTTTTCTTATTTCTCTTTCTGCTAGTTCATTGTTAGTGTACAGGAATGCAACAGATTTCTGTGTATTAATTCTGAATCCCGCAACTTTGCTGAATTCAGATATTAGATCTAGTAGTTTTGGAGTGTATTCTTTAGGGTTTTTTATGTACAATATGCAAACAGTGACAATTTAATTTCTTCCTTACCAATGTGGACACCTTTTGTTTCTTTGTGTTATCTGATTACTGTGGCTAGACCTCCAGAACTATGTTGAATAAAAGTGGGGAGAATGAGCATCCCTGCCTTGTTCCCCATCTTGGAGGAAAAGCTTTCAGCTTTCACTGTTAAGTATGATGTTGGCTGTGGGTTTGTCATCTATGGCCTTTATTATGTTGAGGTACTTGCCCTCTATGGCCATTTTGTTGAGTTTTTATCATGAATGGATGTTGAATTTTATCAAATGCTTTTTCCGCATCTATGGAGGTGATCATGTGATTTTTTTCTAGGAAAAAATCCCCCCTTATTGATGTAGTGGATGATGTTGATGGACTTTAGAATATTGTACCATCCTTGCATATCTGGAATAAATCCCACTTGATCATGATGGATGATATTTTTAATGTATTTTTTAATTCAGTTTGCTAATATTTTGTTGAGTATATTTGCACCTATGTTCATCAGGGTTATTGGTTTATAATTTCCTTTTTGTGGCACCTTTGCCTGGTTTTGGTATTAGAGTGATGCTGGCCTCATAGAATGAGTTTGGAAGTATTCCGTCCTACTTTTTGGAAAACTTTAAGGAGAATGGGTATTAGGTCTTCTCTAAATGTTTGATTAAATTCAGCTGGGAAGCCATTTGGTCTGGGGGTTTTGTTCTGAAGTAGTTTTTTGATTGCCAATTCAATTTCACTGCTGGTAATTGGTCTGTTCAGATTCTCTTTTTCTTTCTGGGTCAGTCTTGGAAAGTTGAATTTTTCTAGAAAGTTGTCCATTTCTTCTAGGTTATCTAATTTGTTAATGTAATTTTTCACAGTATTCTCTAATAAATCTTTTATTTCTGTGGTGTCTGTAGTGATTTTGTCTTTCTCATTTCTGATTCTGTTTATGTGTGCAGACTCTTTTTTTCTTGGTAAGTTTGGCTAGGGGTTTAAGTATTTTTATTTCTTGCAGAACCAGTTACTTTCATTGATTTTTTTCTATTGTTTTATTCTTCTTGATTTTATTTATTTGTGCTCTCATCATTATTATGTCCCTCCTTTTACTAACTTTGGGCCTCATTTGTTCTTCTTTTTCTAGTTTCATTAATTGTTAGTTTAGACCATTCATTTGGGATTGTTCTTCTTTCTTGAGGTAAGCCTGTATTGCAATATACTTCTTCCATCTTAGCATGGCCCTTGCTGCAACACTCAGATTTTGTGGTGTTGTTATTGTTTTCATTTGTTTCCATATATTGTTTGATCTCTGTTCTTATTTGGTTGTTGATCCATGACTATTTAGGAGTATGTTGTTAAGCCTCTGTGAATTTGCGGGCTTTTTTGTTTTCTTTGCATAATTTATTTCTAGTTTTATGCCTTTGCAGTCTGAGAAGCTGGTTAGTACAATTTCAATTCTTCTGAATTTACTGAGGCTCTTTTTGGGACTTAATATGTGATCTATTCTTAAAGATGTTTCATGGGCACTTGAGAAGAATGTGTATCTTGCTGCTTTTGGGTGGAGTGTTCTGTAGACATCTGTTAGGTCCTTCTGCTCTAATGTGTTGTTCAGTGCCTCTTTCTCCTTATTTTGTCTGATTTATTTGTCCTTTGGAGTGAGTGGTGTGCTGGTCTCCTAAAATGAATGCATTGCATTCTATTTCCCCTTTTAATTCTGAAATATTTGTTTCACATATTTAGGTGCTCCTATGTTGGATGCATAGATATTTCTAATGGTTATATCCTCTTGTTGGACTGAGCCCTTAATCATTATGTAATGTCCTTCTTTGTCTCGTTACTTTGTTTTGAAGTCCATTTTGTCTGACAAAAGTACTGCAACTCCTGCTTTTTTCTCCCTATTAGTTGCATGAAATATCTTTTTCCATCCCTTCACTTTTAGTCTGTGTATGTCTTTGGGTTTGAAGTGGGTCTCTTGTAGGCAGCATATAGATGGGTCTTGTTTTTTATCCATTCAGTGATTCTATATCTTTTGATTGGTGCATTCAGGCCATTTACATTTAGGGTGATTATCGATAGGTATGTACTTGTCATTGCAGGCTTTAGATATGTGGTTATCAAAGGTTCAAGGGTAGCTTCTTTACTATCTAACAGTCTAACTTAATTCACTTAGTATGCTATTTCAAACACAATCTATAGGTTCTTCCTCCCCCCTTCTTTTTCTTCCTCCTCCAGTCTTTGTATATTAATTGTCATATTCTGTACTCTTTGTATATCCCTTGACTGACTTTGTGGGTAGTTGATTTAATTTTGCATTTGCTTAGTAATTAATTGGTATACTTCCTTTACTGTGGTTTTGTTTTCTCTGGTGACAGCTATTTAGACTTAGGAACACTTCCATCTATAGCAGTTGCTCCAAAATACACTATAGAGATGGTTTGTGGTAGTTAAATTCCCTCAACTTTTGCTTATCTGGAAATTGTTTAATCCCCCCTTCAAATTTAAATGATAAGCTTGTGGGGTAGAGTATTCTTGGTTTGAGAACCTTCTGTTTCATTGCATTAAATATATCATGCCACTCCCTTCTGTCCTGTAAGGTTTTAGTTGAGAAGTCTGGTGACAGCCTGATGGGTTTTACTTTGTATGTGATCTTTTTTTCTGTCTCCACCTACTTTTAATAGTCTGTCCTTGTCCTTGATCTTTGCCATTTTAGTTATTATATGTCTTGGTTTTGTCTTCCTTGGGTGCCTCATGTTGGGAGATCTGTGCACTTCTGTGGCCTGAGAGACTATTTCCTTCCCCAGACTGGAGAAGTTTTCAGTAATCATTTCCTCAATGACACCTTCTATCCCTTTTTCTCTCTTCTTCTATAATGCAAATATTGTTCTGTTTGGTTTGGTTGTAGAATCGTCTTATTATGCTCATTCCTAGAAATTCGTTTTTCTCTCCTGGTCTCAGCTTTTTTGTATTCCTGTTCTCTAAATTCTATTCCATTTATCATCTCCTCTATCTATTCTAATCTGCTTTAAAATTTTTCTATTGTATGTTTCATTTCAGATACTGTATTTTTCAAACTTTCTCTTTCTTGAAGTCATCTCTGAAATCTTGAATATCTTTCTATAGTTCAGTGAGCATGTTTATGATTTTTATTTTGAAATATTTTTCAAGAAGACTGGTGATTTCAGTTTCACTGAGCCCCTTCTTGTGTTTGAAGGATTTTTGTTTTCACAAGTTTCTTTTGCTGCTTCATATTTGTAATGAATAATATGAAATAATATGTTTGTGTAGGCATCACCTTCTAGTGCTCTGAAGGTGGAGCTCCACTTTGTGGAGCTGCCCAGGACCTGGAGCAACTGAGGGGGTCACAGATGAGTGGCACTGGTGCCTGCTGAGAGGAAAGAGCTCTTTCCTGCTTCCCAACTGCAGTGCCTGGCCCCACTGCCAGGGCCAATGGGTCAAGCACACAGAGAACAGCCTCTGCGTTATGACCCTGTAGCTGCTGTAGGTGGAGCTGCCCTTTGGCAGGCCTGGCGCAATAGAGGGGCTGCAGATTTGTGAACCAGTGCTGAATGGGAGGAAGAATCGGCAGGCTGTGTATCGCAGTGGGGGGACTCGGAGCTGCATTTACACCCAGGGGAATGGAACGCCTGAAGCTCCTGAAAGTTCCAAACCTGCTGGGCTGAATGTGTCGGGATGATTTTGTACACCTGTCCTTTCTCCTGAGCAGGAAGCTCTGTGTAATCCTTGCCCCTTTAGCAGCCCTCTCACTGTTGTGAAGTCTTTCAAAGTGTGTTTCTGTTGTCCCAGAGAAGCTGGTTGTGGGTACCTGCTCTCCACAAGGAGCTGGAATTTCAGCCTCTCCGAGTGTTCTGCCTGTCTTTGCTTTCCAACCCCACTTACCTCCAGAGCACCAAGTAATGTAGGTTCATGCTCCCAGAGCATATCTCCAGGGCTGGGTGTTCAGCAGTCCTAGGCTTCTTCCCCCTTCCCACTCCATTTCTCTTCCTCCAGATGGTGAGCTGGGGTGGTGGGACGGCATGGGCCCCGCCAGATCGCAGCTTTGCTACTTTACCCTTTTCCGTGCGGTCTTCTCTTTTCCCCACATGTAGGAAGTCTGTCACAGTCTTCTTTCTGGTTGGTCTTTGAGGATTAGTTGTATTTGCTGTATTTTGCTATATTATAAGTGGTTTTGGGAGGAGGTTTCTGTCTTCTCACGCCACCATCTTTAAACCTCTCCAAGGACATTAATAATTTTAAGAAAATTACTAACTACACATCTTAGTTTCTGCCCGCTATGGCTTAAGTTATATTTCTTGAGTAATAATAAGATAGACAACAAGTTATATCAATTACCTGATTAGACAGCCATGGTAAAATTTTATAGAAAACAGATTTAGCAGGGATTGAAGGAATAAACTTACCTGCAATTTCTGACTTTCTCACTATTTTCATATGAGACTCTGTCTGGAACACCCTAAAAGAGAAAATAAAGATTACTGGAAATCTCTAATTTTTAATTAGAAACCTATGGTACTAATTTACACTCTGTTTTGAGACAGGTAAAGATAACACTTTGATTCCAGCCTCCTCTTTGCTGTGTCTACTACTAATATTTCAAATGCCAAAATTAGTTCACCACATTAAATCTGTTATGGTTTTTTTAATGAACTCTAATAGAACCATTATTTTATCCCTCAATAACTTGAAGTATTCATTTTAATCAACAAACATTTATTAAGTACTCAGTATATACCTGGTGCTATAGACTAGAGTCTGACACATAATCTTTGACCTCAAGGAGCTTTCATTGTAAGTAGAGAGCTGTAACAGTGATTACAGATATTATTTCATTGATTTTTGTTATTAACAGCTCACATAAAGTGGCATGGACTCCAGAGGAAGGGATCGCTTGTCACTGAATTAAGAATAAGCTTCTTGCAGAAGTAGCATTTGATACCTGCCTTAAAGAATCTGAACAGTCATTTTCATTCCGCTAATATTAAGTATCACTATTATATAGAAGCTCTTCTTAATTAGAAGTAGAATTTCATTTCTATACAAAAAAGTAACAAACATTTGCTTGCATACTGTGTGCCAAGCATTGTGCTATGTTCATTACATGCATCTTTAATGATTATAACAATTACCATGTTATTTTACAGATGTAGATATTGAGGACAATAAAGGTTAAGTAACTCCCAAAGTCATATAAATGATAAGTGTCAAACCCAAATCTGTTTGACTTCAAAACCTGAGCTTATATACTACGAAGCTGTACTTGAAACAACTTTTCCTCAAATGGTTTACAAAAGAACAACAGAAACCTTTTTATTCAATATGAGCAGGATCAGCAGTTGGTTAATTACTTGAAAAAAAAACTCCTAAAATAAGGAATCATAATAGTCCCATAAACACCTTAAGCATTTTTAAAAATTAAAACACATAAATGGAAAACTGAACAGCTACATGGAACAGAATGAAACTGTATTACTGTCTAACTCCATACACAAACGTAAACTCAAAATGGATTAAAGACCTGAATGTAAGTCATGAAACCATAAAACTCTTAGAAGAAAACAGGCAAAACTCTCTTGAATATAAACATGAACAACGTTTTCATGAACATATCTCCTCAGGCAAGGGAAACAAAAGCAAAAATGAACAAGTGGGACTACATCAAACTAAAAAGCTTCTGTACAGCAAAGGACACCATCAATAGAACAAAAAGATATCCTACAGTATGGGAGAATACATTCATAAATGACATATCTGATAGGGGGTTGACATCCAAATTACATAAAGAGCTCATGTGCCTCAACATGCAAAAAGCCAATAACCCAATTAAAAAATGGGCAGAGGACCTGAACAGACACTTCTCCAAAGAAGAAATTCAGATGGCCAACAAGCACATGAAAAGATGCTCCACATCCCTAATCATCAGAGAAATGCAAATAAAAACCACTATAAGATATTACCTCACACTAGTTAGGATGGCCACTGTCCAAAAGACAAGCAACAACAATTGCTGGCGAGGATGTGGAGAAAGGCGAACCCTCCTACACTGCTGGTGGGAATGTAAATTAGTTCAATCATTGTGGAAAGCAATATGGAGGTTCCTCAAAAAACTAAAAATAGAAATACCATTTCACCCAGGAATTCCACTTCTAGGAATTTGCCCTAAGAAAACAGGATCACAGATTCAAAAAGACATATGCACCCCTATGTTTATCGCAGCACTATTCACAATAGCCAGGAAATGGAAGCAACATAAGTGTCCATCAGTAGAGGAACGGATAAAGAAGACGTGGTACGTATACACAATGGAATATTATTCAGCCATAAGAAGAAAAGAAATCCTACCATTTGCAACAACAGGGATGGAGCTAAAGGGTATACTGCTCGGTGAAATAAACCAGGCAGAGAAAGACAAGTACCAAATGATTTCACTCATTTGTGGAATATAACAACAAAGAAAAAACTGAAGGAACAAAACAGCAGCAGACTCACAGAACCCAAGAATGGACTAGTGGTTACCAAAGGGAAAGGGGTTGGGGTGGGTGGGTGGGAAGGGAAGGATAAGAGGATTAAGGGGTATTATGATTAGCACACATAGTATGGGGGGGGCCATGGGGAAGGAAGTTCAGCACAGAGAGGACAAGTAGTGACTCTATAGAATCTTACTATGCTGATGGACAGTGACTGTAATGGGGTATGTGGTGGGGACTTGATAATAAGGCAGAATGTAGTAACCACAATGTTGCTCATGTGAAACCTGAGCATAAGATTGTGGATCAATGATACCTTAATGAATAAAACAAAAAAAACCCCGAAAAACATATAAATGGAATTTAGTTTGCAAATCTCCTACTGTCAATCTGAGGTCTTTACTTTGGGTGGATCTACTGGTACAATTTCAGTGTATTTATAAAGTGGAAAAATACTTTTGGACACCTTAAAGCAATACAAACACAGAATCCTTCTAAATTTTGTAAGTTATTTCTCTGTATTTTACATTGTTTCTTCCATACTAAATTTGAAAACATTTTTAAAAATAAATTCACCTTTATTAAGTTTTCACTAGTTGTTCAATATAATTTTCATAGTTTACTATCTTTGACTAATTTTCATTGGTTTATGTAATATTAAGTTAAATTATATAATTATGACTTCAAGAAGATAAATGCTTTTCTCGTAAGCCTACCAATCAATTCTCAGGATCTGAAGTTTACGCACATGAAAGAGTGTTCATTGTGCTGTAGACAGTGTGTCTTATGAGGGGAATGAAAAATATAGGTTAATTGTAACAACTCAGTGAGGTGGGAGTTGTTAAGACAGCCTTTAATAATCTTGTTTCTGTATCTAGAATCCTGTGATTCTTTTTTAACTAATCTATTTTTAACAAGGAATAGGTTTTTGAAACACTACTTATACAATAATATTTATTCAAATTGACACCTCCTGTGATACCACACGCTATCTTCTTTCTGCCATGCAATAACATAACACTATGAGACATGTAAGGACTACTATTTCTATCTCCAAAATGGAGGAAATTAATGCTCTGATAAATTAAATGAACTAGGGGCTATTGAGTAGTTAGCCAGAACTTGTTCCAGGTTTTTTTGGTTTTGAAGCTGACATTCCTTTTAATATTTCAAAACCATTTTAGAAAAGTAAGTATAGTGAATAGATTTTTCCCGAAGAAAGGAAAGGGTGGACTAGGTTTAACAGCATTTGGGAAAGACAGAAGCAGTGGAAAAAGAGGTACACTCATTAGGAATCAGACATATGTTATAATTATGGCTTTGTCACTACCTATATATGGCTAAATCATATCATTTCCCTGGTTTTAATCTTACCTAAAAAAATTAAGAGTTTGGAATATATTCTTTAAGGTTCTAATTTTAACATTCTATTATCCAGAACACAAATTTGAGTAGAAAATTCTCAATTTTCTTATATATCTGTCTGTATTATATAGACAGATGAGGAAAAGAATCCTATCCCAGGTACACCTCTTCTTGTCTCAAAAGTTGCTGTTGACGTTTGGGAACATATTTTTTGATAGCCAAACTCATTATGAAACAAGCAAAAGAAACACAATAAGCCACATAAATAGTATTAATGACACAGAGTATATCTGAAAAACAAATCAGAAATAGAAGCATAATAATACCAATCAGATAAACCTAGAAAAGATAATATAATCTGAAAATACCAACAATGTGAAAAACATAATAGAAGACACCATAATATAGTAATTAAGAATACTTGATGTGAAATATTTCAAAGCCTGAGCTCTACACCTTAATAGGTAAATTACTTAAGCTAACGAGCAAATTACTTAAGCTAAGCCTCTGTTTCCTTATTCATGAAATGAGATACTTTTAAGGATTCAATGAGTAACAGTGAATTTGGCAGCACAGTACCTGTCACATTGTTAATATTAGCTATTAACAATAAGTCAAATTTTGACATATATAAACCCACTTTTGATTATTTGAGACAGGTGATCTTCCTGTGTTAAAATGGTCATTTCATCATAAATTTTGAGTTTACATAGCTGTTTTGAGAAATAATTAAAATAAAGTCACCTTCAAGATCCCACTGTCAGGTCTGCAAAATCTAAGCAGGAAAAAAAACCTCTTAGAAGTTCCTTCTAGGTAAGAGCAAGAATATTTTTTAAATCTAAAAAATAAAATGACATCTGGGAGGAAGAGCCAAGATGGTGGCGTGAGTAGGGTAGAGGAAATCTCCTCCCAAAACTATACAAATTTTTGAGAATACAACAAAGACAACTATTCCTAAAAGAGAGACCAGAGGATACAGTACAACAACTAGGCTACACCTACATCTGTGATAACTCGGCATCTCATGAAGCGGGTAAGATACAGCCACGGCCCGGTGGGACACGAGCGCTCCCCGCACCCCAGCTCCCCAGCAGGAGGAGAGGAGTTGGAGTGGGGAGGGAGTGGAAGTGCAGGACTGCTAAATAACCAGCCCTAGTAATCCTCACCGGGGCCACAGACACACATTGCATGGTGTGCTGGATATTAGAGAAACGGAAAAGTAAAATCTGCAAGCGGGTCCCTGCAGCCGGCTCCCCTGGGACAAAAGAAAAGCAAGTGCTTTTTGAAAGTCTTACAGGGACAGGGACCTCACAGCTGGATGGAATTGTCCCGGCACACTCGGCCCAGCAGGCTGGGAATCCTGAGGAACTCCAGGTGTCCCAGCCCCCTGGGAGGCAACACAGCCCTGAAGACCCTCAAGGTGATAAGCACCCTGCCGTTCATTCCTCCTCAGGTGCAGCCCCCCTACAGTGGCCGAGCAGCCTGGGCACAGCCGCCCCCAGAGCAGCCACCCAGAGTCTCCTCCCAGCGTGCAGCCACCCAGACCACAGCCGGTGAGGAGCTGCCCGGCACAAACAGAGTAGGCCTGAGCAGGGTGTGAAGGGGTGCCGCTCTTGCAGGAGAG